ATTAATTAATTTTACTATTTCAACTTAAAAATTAGAATCTGAAATAAGCTTCTAACTGAAATAAGTCTAAGTTGTTCATCTAATGTTTTATTTCAAATTTATTTCAGTTAACAAAAACAATGTTTGTTTTAGTTAACAATAACAGCACTGGTCTTGGGAAAGTCAATTGGATTGATTGATTTAATGTTGTCATTTTAAATGCCAGGATATATTATGTACTGTATATAATCAAATAGTAAGAGCATGGAAGAATGTAGGATTGTCGTTGTTTGAGGATTTCAATATGCTACCACCATTTATGCATTGTATTAGCTATCTTTACCAGGGCATGTCATCTTGTATGACTATAGATAACACAACAGAATGTCTGTTTTCCATATATTCATCCACCTTTCATCAACAGCGCAGCTGCGTTTATTAGAAAGTATTACAGCTTGTGCTTGATTGTGGAACTGACAGTCTGTCGCTTATGTATTTGTCTAGTAAACAAAACAACAGAAAGCAGTCAAGTTCCAGTAAACACCTGAATCTGATTATGATTTCTGAACACATGGTGTTTGGAATGAATGTGTTTCATCAATGGTTGTTCAAGCTCGTATTGTAAAGTTGTCAGATGTTGCAGTGCACCTGTCCCAAAAAAAAAAAAAGGGAGTGAGAGAGCGAGGGGAAAAAAAACCTGTCAAGATGGTGTTTAAATAGTTGCTGCTCCCTTATGAATAAATTAATAATTTATTATTGTAAATCTTTATGCACCATCTGTTTCATCAGGCTAACTGATGCCTTGTATTCATTAGCAGTGAAAACATGGCATTTCAGCCCTACATGAATACTTTTTCTTCTGAAACTACTGTGGGGATGTTTGGGAAATGGTAGAAAGAACTGAATCAGACCACAAGGTCATTGAGAAGACAATAGCACACGTAAGTTGAATGGGCTCGAAGCTTCAGTTTCAGGGCTAGCTCCAGGAACTGTGTCCTTGGATGCACTCGGCACTCAGAGAGCTACTGTAGGCCCAGTCTGGGGAAAATAACACAAGCTTGCTTTTTAGCTAGAATCCCTAGAAACTGACCAGCAGATGGGAAGCTGCTGCCTTCAAACAGCTGTCCTTGGTTACCATTAGCTAGATGGCATATGGAATGGTGGTACTGGCGTGTCGTATGTGTGAGAAATGTGCATTGCTGTTGTTATAATAGAATAAAATGTCATTGGAACATTGCAAGATTTAATAGGAGTGAAAGTACACTGAGTGTTTTCGTGGAGTGTGGTTTGGAAGTGCATTGTCAACTTACCAAAAAAGTAGGTTTTGTAATAGTGACCCTTATTAAAATAACATTTCATCTCCCCCCAAAAAACTGTCATTTTGTTCCAAATATGTACCTAAGGGAACACAAAAGGAGATGTTTAAAAGAATATTCATGCTGATTTTTTTTTTTTCTTCTAAAAAGTGAACCGTGTTGACCTAAAGCTCCTAAAATGTCAAAAAGCGTCATAACAGTGGTCCAAATTACTGTTTTTATGGTGTGAAGCCATTTTATAGTTACAGCCAGACCTTGTTTGATACTAATGATTGGCTTTTATTTTGATATTTCTGCTGTTTGTTTAATTTATTTTAGTTTTAGTAATTTTAGTACTTCAACTTTTATTTTATTTCAGTCAGTTTCCAAGGCCACATTTCTAATTTTAAAGCAAGTTTTTCATCTAACATTTATTTAATTTCATTTCAGGTTTCAATTAACGTAAATGATTTATAATAATTTAGTTAACATTAACAACACTAGTCTTGGCAAATTTTAATGTGCGCATATTCAAATCACACAAAAATGAGATTTGAATGTTGCAAAGAAGAGAGATAATTTTAGTGAATAATGACTTAAATTTCAGTCTTTGTTTTTTTTGCACAGTCCTGTTGTAATGCTTTGAAATACTTGTAGAAAAAATACATATAAAAAGCAGTGTGAACATTCTGCCTAACAACTCCTTCATCAGAAGAAACCCAAATGGCTTTAAAACAACATGGTAAGTAAATGATTTTCATTTCTGAATAAACTTTCTTGTTAACAAAAGTGATTTTATATATAATTAGCAGACATTTGTAATGTACTGTATCTTTTGTTCAGACCAAGTTAGCTTGAAGTCAGGTTTGAATAATCTACAACTCTTAAAAAGTTTATTCAATGGTTTCTCAGGTTTTGCTGAGAATCCAGAATAATTTGCAGTCTGTAATTTATTTAATTGGGCATAATAATTGATTGGTCTTACCAAAAAAAAAAAGGATGAAAATCAAATTACGTAGAGACAATGCCTGCCAGCTGCATGCTCATTTCAAAAAATGTCTGCTGAAACTAAGCCAGGTGGCCAATTTATCTATTAAAAGGCTTTATTGTTCCACTGTATATCCATTAAAAAGTGCTGACAGATTATGAGAGCTTTGTCCCGTCACTTAGAAAAAGCTGAATGTGCAGCCTCTTTTGTCAGTACAGCCACAGCCTGATTTGTTTGTCTTGGCGGAACATGTCATATTTTAGGAAGTATCACTTTGTCATGCGGTGACTGTGCAGGTTTAGGTTTAGTGCATTAATGTACAGTTTGGCAAATGCTGTACTTCCATTACCTTTTAGTTTTCGAGGTGCTTTGCAAGGGGCAGGAACATTGCTTCTCTGCTTGAAAGAATGAGAGTTTGGGGGATTTTAGTCTGTGTGTTAGCTTTGAGTTGACACTTTTTCTTCTGGGTAAACAAACTAAAAGTATAGATGACTCATCCTGCACTAACAGATTTTTGTCCAATTAAATGCCCTCAATAAGCAAAAAGCCCCTCCCCCTGAAACGGGCTAGCAAGCAGCAAATCTTGGTTCATGGCTGTTATGTAACTAAAAAGTATAGTTCCTGTATTTGTAATAATCACTCTTTGAGACTTCAGATATTGACAAGTGGTTTATTCAGCAGGAACGGTGAACCAATCTGTCAGTATTTTCATATTTATACAGAAAGCAATTGAGCACCAGTAGCCTAATGAAAGCCTCACAATCAAAAGAATGCGTTAATGATCAATGCCCAGAATCCTCTTAACATTTGTCCTTCCATACCGTTTCTGTCTCTGGATATATGTTCTGATGAAAACTATCAAACTCAAGCGAAGTGCCGCAAAACTTTGCAGCAGCCTTAAATCCTACATTCAATGTAATGGGAAACAGAACAACTTCAAAATAAGCACAATATGTTTGTAAAAATGTGTTGCTTAATGTGTCTAATTGAAGATTCAAGAAGTATCTTTAGTGCTGCCCATAGTATTTGCCACAAAGCTATAACCAACATACCTTAAATATTCAAAGTCTTTGGTATTAGGTGAGGACCTTTTGCTGGAGATCTATTACATCAAACTTGTGCACATTATATAGACATTCTGGGTGGCTATTGCAAATGACTCTACATTGTCCTATTGTTTCTTAATTCAGATTGAGAAGATTATATAAAACGCATACAGCCCAGTTCAAAAGTACAAACACTCGAAGACGTGAATTTAGGTTGTCCAAAAATGGATAGTTACCTTTTTGAAAATGTTAAACATCTGTATCTTGTTTATAGATGATGTTTTCTCTTCGTATGGTTAAGGTGCTACTAGTTAAAACACAACCTTTCTTAATTGCACTGATGGTGTAATTTACTTAATCTTGGTGCAATTTTCCTATTAAACCTCCCTAGACACATCGATAAGTAAAAACATAGGCAAGGCTGCCCATAGTATTTGCCACAAAGCTATAACCAACATACCTTAAATATTCAAAGTCTTTGGTATTAGGTGAGGACCTTTTGCTGGAGATCTATTACATCAAACTTGTGCACATTATATAGACATTCTGGGTGGCTATTGCAAATGACTCTACATTGTCCTATTGTTTCTTAATTCAGATTGAGAAGATTATATAAAACGCATACAGCCCAGTTCAAAAGTACAAACACTCGAAGACGTGAATTTAGGTTGTCCAAAAATGGATAGTTACCTTTTTGAAAATGTTAAACATCTGTATCTTGTTTATAGATGATGTTTTCTCTTCGTATGGTTAAGGTGCTACTAGTTAAAACACAACCTTTCTTAATTGCACTGATGGTGTAATTTACTTAATCTTGGTGCAATTTTCCTATTAAACCTCCCTAGACACATCGATAAGTAAAAACATAGGCAAGAAAAAAGGAAAAACAATGGTCCTGAATAGACTCGTACAGTGTTAGCCAAATTACACGGTTACTAACTGGAATTGAACTGTAACTTTGTCTTTCTCATCTCTGAATTACACTGAAGACTGTTTTGCACCATTTCCTTGCCAGTTACAAATACTTAAGTTCAGTGCCAAGATGTCTAAATGAATGTAGCGTGCACGAAAAGCTACTTTGTGATGGTCAAAGTTTTGGTAATATTGGAGATTTGCCGTTTACAGTACTCTGTCAAGTTATTTGGCATTGGGAGGTTATTGTTTCAAAAATAATAATTTAAAAACCGTAGAGAAAACAAAAACAGCAATTAACCATCTCGGGCCACATTTTTTCCTTTTTCTATGCATTCACAGCTCTCACAAAAATACTTTTGCTCGCTTACACTGTAACCTTATTGAAATAGCTTAAAAATAAAAGAATATTATTACAATAGTGGCCACAAGGCTGTGCAAAAGGGAAGACTTCCAACAATGAGCTTCATGTTTTCAGCCAACCCCTGCAAGTAACAAACTACAAAATAGCACCATTATACAGTGGGTTGATCTTTTATATGGTTCCGCTATATAATGCCATCACATATGATTATGGTTAGAGAATGCAAAGGTTAATATAGGTTGAGTATAGATACAGAGTAAACAGTGTGGGTTGACGTGATCCATTGGGGTCAGAAAAGAGGAAATCATGCAGATGGTCACACCGCACAACCCCTGTGACAGTGGCTTAAAGTGGGGTGTAGAGGGGTAGTTCACCCAAAAACAGACATTGTGTCGTTGTTTATGCACCCTTCTGTCATTTTTAATCTGGTATTATTCTTTTTTCAGAATGAAATTTGTTTCCAGTATTTCCTGTACAATGACCATGTCTGGAAAGCTTCAAATGGAACAAAAATTAAATGCAATAGAAACATAATTCCAAATGACTGGTGCTCTGCAATTACATAAGCCTGCTTCGGAGAAAAAAATAAAAAGGGTAATTGTGTGATAAAGTTTAAAGTAATCACTTATGAGCCGTAAGGTTGTATTATGCAAAATAACATTGCAATTGCCTTTTTTATTTTTCCTAGAAGAAACACGCATCAAAAATGGACTACAAAAGTCATATTTTAAGTAAACCCACAATTTTCATTTTTGGGCGAAATATCCCTTTAATACAGCCAGTGAGTTGTCACCATTCTTTCGCTGTAAAGATGCAAGCCTGCAACTTCCTATTTGATAAACAGTAGCTGCTAAACCAGATTTTGTTCTTCTTGATGTTATGTGTTACAATTGCTAGTAATTTTTTGCTTCTGTTGTAGTTTCTGTTGTCTTTCCTTTGCATGCTGATACACTGGTGTAAATGCATGCGGATAACTTCGAGTGAATGGCTTTCACCTCCTATTTTCTAAAGAAGGTAATCCATGCAGTTAAAATGATTAAAAAAAGAAGCAAAGATCCCTCACACAATTTTTTTTAAAAAAGGGTGTTTTGCAGGATGTAGGTCAGGATCCATCGATCCTGAATGTGTTCTCTAGAGCACCTCAGCATATCTGCATAAGGTTTTTGTATAATACCCCTTGATCTGGTTTTGCACAATGAATCAAATAAGAAAAGATTGATTTGTATTTTATATGTCATCTCTCTGTGCAGCCGTAGTTCAGTTTTGCAAGGGTTCCATCTGGTATAAACTGTCTAGACAGCCTTTCTTGTCAACACGGTCCGTGATCTCCCTGCGAACTCCTTTCTCGTGCCTCTCGTGTGCCTGCAAAAATTTGTTTTTTGCCACTATAAAAAGCTTTCGGCATCCATTAGGTGCAACCGTTCACACAAAGAGGATAAACCGTTATCATTTGACTTTTTTAGCAGCTAATTTATGATTTTCCCCCAGTATGGAATGGTGCAGTCTATGGAAATCATCAGATTTTGTTTGTCTTAACATGGGGCTTTAACAGTATCCAGTATCTTGTTGGTTTTTATTTAATTTTTTTTTATTTTTAATATTTAGTTTTTTTTTTACAGTGGAGCATGTCCCTGGAAGACCAGTCTTTCTTTCATCCCGTTTCCCCGCTGTCCAACAGTTTCACTTGTCTCTCTCAGCCATTCGCCTTACTGTCCTCTACATGCGATAGTTTCTGCCCCCTGAGTTTCCTCGGCTCGAGTTCTTCTGATGAACCTCCTGAAAATAAGAAAGAGAAAGGCAGTGAGTTTCAGTTCAGATGATGAGAAGAAACGCAGAAAGCCGACCCAACGAGAGCAGAACGGCTGTTGCTGCCCATAACAACACAGCTGTTTGGTGAACGGAGTGTTATTTCATAATGCTGAGGAAATCTACTGTCAAAGCAACACATCAAAGGTTTCACCACAGCAAGATTAATAAGTGTAATTCACGAGCTAGGAATGAAACCGCATGCAAGGAGTGGAGGAGAAAGGCCGGTGTGAGGGGCCAGACTCTAAACTCAGCGTGCAGACATCTAAGGTGACCTTATATTCGGCTTCCAGCGCATGACGACGTATGGGTGCAGAAATATGTCTGTGGAGAGCACATGCAGGTCAAAAACCACTTAGGCAGTTCACTTGCTAATGGTTTTCTTTTTTGAGAGAGGACGACAGAGCACTTAAAAGGATGGCCCACATTTGGGCAGTGGGGTGAGGGAAGAGCTGCTTTTTCCTTAGGTATGTATCGCTGCACAATGTACCGGTATTTAGGGCTGCACGATTATGACAAATATCCATATTGTCGATTATTCCCTTGAAATTGTAATTGCGATTATTAATTACGATTATCACAATTTACATTGAATGATGTTTATACCATTGCTTGATGCAACTGCATGCCATATTTTTATATGAAAATAAACAAGCTGAAAACACTTTAGTGCTTTTCTATAGTATTAAGCCTCAAATGTCAAATATACATCGGATTGGTTTCTTCTTTAAATGATAAAAAAAGTAAAAATATGAATGGTATTATAATGTTATACTAAAACAATGGAAAAACCCTTAATGTAACATGTAGAAAGAAAAAAACATATCTTAAGCCTGCAGAATAACACAAGTGGACTTTGAACGATTAATTGCCACTTTGAACGTAATTGCGGCATCCATAATTGTAATTGCGATTAGAAATTAGATTAATTGTGCAGCCCTAATTAGTAATATGCATTGCTAAGAACTTCATTTGGACAACTTTAAAGGCGATTTTCTCAATATTTAGATTTTTTTTTTCAAATAGTTGTATCTCGGTCAAATATTGTCCTATCCTAACAAACCATAC